TCGAGCCCCAGCAGGGCCACTGGAGGCATTACAAACCGGCCGCGTCTCCAGGGCCCCGTGGAACTAACCGTGGTGGACCCGCCTTGAAACAGCGGGACCCGGTGGGTACAGCTAGTCGGGTTCGCAAAGCGACGCCCGGAAACCACGGTAAAAAAAAATAAAAAAATACTGCTATAGCTTGAAAAATAGTACTATAATATATGTCATATATAAAATTTACACTATAAACATTAGAAATAGTGGCATGTCTAGGTTGGGGGTAGGGGGTTGGTTTGAGCTCACGGATATTCATGCTTGTCTTTTTACACTTTTTTCTTGGTTAAAATGGATGAGATTACCCACTTTATTAACAAATTTAAAATAGAGCAAAATATATAAATTTCACTAGTTTATGAGCTAATTACTTAGATATATATTAATTTATCATATTACGAATCCTACTAGATTTTGGTGCGTCTATATACGTTTAGATATATGTATCTCGAGACACATGGGTCAAAATTAGGTGTAATTTAATTTGTTCTATTTACATTGTATTAAAGTAGATTTGCATGTATTTGGAATACATAAACAAATCTTATTTGCCTCCCTCTCATCTCGCTGTCACTCTCATATCTCACTCGCGTATTTGGTATTTCAGATACATGTGAATACACTAGATACATGTATCTAGTGTGATTCGCATGTATTTGAGATACATACATAAATCTCGCTTCCCTCCATTCCATCTCACTTGTCACTATTATATATCCTCGCATATTTGGTGTCCCAAATACATGTGACTCAAACCAGTTACATGTATTAATGTGTATCTAGTATGATTCACATGTATCTAGCTTTAAATCTAGTATAAAATTATTAAATAGTGAGATAAAATGCAATTATTTCAAATTATATGGAGAATTAATAAATATAATAGGAATGTTTGTATAATTAGATAGTTTCTCCAAAAATATTGTGTTATTTAGGGTTTGACCCAAAATTTCTTCATTCAAATGAACACATATTACCACTACACCAAAGACATAACTTTTGTCAAGGGTATCCAACTATAAATATATATCCTTTAAATGTAGAATTTGACACACACACACACATATATATAACATAATTTTCCGATTGGACACCCTGAGAAGGAAAGGTGTCTGATGCAAGAATGATGAGTTGAAGCTAAGGTGGTTGTACGCTCAGCTTGTGAGGTTGTACCTAGCCGTTAAAGTCGTTAGGGCTGCATTGTTTATTAGTTTTATTTATTCAGTTAAGTCTCTTTTGTCTGTTGGCTTGTAGCAGTTTAGGATTGGACACTTAGGTCCTGCTAATTGTGGGAATAGGATATACTTTTGGTCCTATTTGTTATTTTCTGTTTTGTCCTGGAGTTGCCAGTTGTGGCAATGGTCCAGCTTTCTTTTAGCTATTTAAGCTCTGTAATTGTCTCTTCTCTTTATGAAATGACAATATGTTTAGCTAGAAGTAGAAATAGCTTAGCTTACAAGTTTACCTCTTTCCCTTTATCAATTTCTTACAGTGTTTCATTGTTATTCTTTCATAATTGCATCAGTGTCCAATTGGACACCCTGGGATAGCTATAGCTACGCCCCTGCTACTCTGCCCTATGCAATTGATGAAACTATCTTCTCTGGCTAATGCATATAATATCGTGCAACTTGATATAACACCTACCTTGCAATGTCGTTGTTTCCTTTTGCTTATCCAACTCAAGTTGAATTATACGGTAATCTGATGAAAACTTATTGCGCTGTTAATATTCAGATAACCTTACTAAAAAGAATATTGAACCTGTGCTCATCGTTTTTTTTTTTCTTGTCTAGGATATGATTTCACATCACATCATTATAATAGCAAAGAAAATAGGAGATTAGGTTTGCTTCAGAAATCAAGTGTTTATGTTTAGTGCTTTTGTGTTTCATTTCATTAGAAAGTTTTTATTGGGTTATGTTTTGAAAATATCCTTCTTTCCCAAAAGTGCGGTAAGCTTCCTTGTGAATCTTGGTGACCCTTATTTATGAACTAGACACAAGTGCATGTCCGTGCTAGTATTGGTCAATATCTGTTATTTTTTTGTCTCACTTTATGTGACATAGATATAATTTAAATAGTCAATTAAATTTTAATTGTTAATTATTGTACTTTCTCCGTTCCTATTTATATGTTACCATTTTAGATTTCACGTGTATTAAGAAATTAAGTAATTTTACCATTCTACCCTTATTTAATTTTTTTGGAACTCAAGTTTTCAATCAATGAAGATGAATTGATTTATTTTGATTAACTAATTTAACCAATGAACATGAATAATTTACTTAGTTTTTCTAAGTTGGTCAAATGTATATTTTCAAGGCTAATAACTCACAAGGGTAAAAAAAATAATATGATAATTTATGCATTGATTTTATGAAATGACAAGTATTATGAACCAACTATTTATAGAAAGAGATGACATATAAAAAGGAACAGAGGGAGTAATTTATAGTATTTTTACGTATTTTACATACTTTTTAAATAATATATATTACTTCTCTTATCCCAATGTATGTAGCACAGATAAATTTCAAGATTCAATAAAATGTTGTTAATTATTGAGATTTACAATACTTTCTACGTAGTTTCTAAATTAAATTTTACATGTTACTTCTTTTGATTATTGTAATTTATAATACTTTTTACGTAAATTTTTTAATAATATATGTTACTCCTCTTATCTCAATGTATGTAGCACAAATATAATTTCAAGAGTCAATCAATTGTTGTTAATTATTGAGATTTACAATACTTTCTACGTTGTTTCCAAATTAAATAATGCATGTTACCTCTTTTATCCCATTTTAAGTCGCACAGACAGATTAATTTTATGAATCAATCGAATTTTTTATATGTTTTTTATCAATATTTTAAGTTGGCAATTATCATGATTTATAGTATTTTTACACAATTTTAAAGTATTTAAAAAATTAAAAAACAAGACAAACAAATTAAAACGGAGAATCACCAAAAAAGGGAAAATAGTGCAGCTGCCAGGCAAGCATGTAGACCATGACCTGCCTGGTTAGTCACTTATATATATGTAATGGATACATTATATTGACTTGATTACAATGATATGCATCCTTTTAGATACGATTGCAAAAAAGTACGGTTTCAAATATGCTAGAAACATTTATTTATTGGCTTTCACTGTGTTCTTCCTCAATTGATATTAACGTATTATTGAAAGATTCATTATGACCCCTCTCACAACTTATGATATACATATGAATTCAACTATTTAGTTTTGTTCCTACATACTCAGTATCTTCCTTGTACTAATCACATACCTCTTATGCGCTATATTTTTCATTTGATGTAGATATGAGTATCATTCTCAGGCTTGTGGATAGAGAGTAGTAGTTCATAGTTTTGATGAATCCTCATCATTGAGGACATAATTTTGTTATTTCTATTCTTATTTCAGACTTGTTTTATGGCTAGCTGGGTGCCTTGTCCCAACAAATCGTTTTATTTAGTTTAGAGACTTTCATACATTAGTATTCAATTGTAATAGACCTTTTCTTAAGATCTATTTCAGTTATGATTTTAGGGATCGTTTGGTTGGGAACAAGTTATCTCAGGATTAACTATTCCAAACATGGCAACCAAACAAGATACAAAATTTTATCCCATCACTATTTATTTTTATCCCTCACAACATGACCCCTTAGTTTACAGTTTCCACTTTAATTTTCATATGATATTCTTAGATATGTTATGCCAAGAATTATTTGGGAATCACTCGTGGTTTCAAATATCCTATTTCAGCTATGGTGTAAACTCAGATCGTGACAATAATGTAAAATACAATACATGCAATAATAATAATCAAAATGATAACTCAATGTTTATGTTGTTTATATTAAAAATGACGAAATGACCTAGGAGGCCCCTGTACTTGGATTTGTTTGTAAGTTAAATCCTTATACTTTCGGCTTTACCAACTGAACCATTAAACTTATTCAAACACAATATTTTAAACCCCTTTGACCATTGATTAAACACATGTGGCATTAATATTGCTGACTTGAAATGATGTGTAATTTCACGCATTTTTAAAGCAAGTGAATATAATATTTTATATGAAAAAATATTAAAATTTTAAAAATAAATAAATGAAAAACGCTAAAAACAAAAAGAAAAAATGAAAAACGCTCAAAAAGAAGAAGAAGAGGAGGAACAAGTCATCTTCTTCAAAGGCCAGGCCACCAGCTGCTGCCCCCCTCCAATCAAATTCCTTCTTCCCATTCCACTCTTCTTCTTCTTTGGATCCACCCATCATTCGCGGCGCACTGTCCCACTCTCAAATACTTTCTTGAAATTCCTTTATTTTGCTGTATATCAACATTACCCATATTCCTTTCCGTTTTGTCATATTTCCACTTTCAAAATCTCAATTTTGTGCGTATTTCTTGGTGATAGTGAGTATTGAAAAATGAAAAACTTCATTGATAAACGTAATAAAACTTTAAGAATAATAAATGTGTTTAAAATTATAATGGAGATTTGTTGGGTTTGTGTTTGTGAACCAAATAGTGTTAAATTCAAGTTAAATAGGTAAGAATTCCACCCATTTTGACATGAATTTGGTGCTCAATTTGAGAGCAAAAATAGAGAAAATAATGTTCAAAATTTCAAGAATACACAAAAGTAGGGCCTTCTATTTTTTATTTAATTTTTTAACATGTAATTTCTTATGTATTGTTAAAAATAATATGGAATTCCACGTGTAAACGAATGTACTATACACACACATAATGAGAAAAAGATTTAAAATATTGTGATTCAGTAAGTTTAAAAATTCAATTGATAAAATCTTAAATATAAGGTTCCACCTTACAAACTATGCCAAATACAAGGATATCTCAAGGTTATTCTGCCTATTAAAAACAAATATTTTAAACTATACATTGTAGTAGTATACTATATAATCTGTAAGATATCAAACTAAACAATCTTCCTAGAGACGCTTTCCGCTTCGACTTACCGCCAAAACGGAAAGATTCAAATGCCTTAAGCAGAGAGCAGCTCTCGCGTCTGAGCTACGAGGAATGGAGGACGAGGGAGAGGCTCTTTCAGCATCGAGCGACAAATCCCTTAGAGAGCCTGAGGATGACATCGATTGCGTATCTAATAGTGGCGAGGACGACGACGACGATGAATGGAATGTAGAATCTCAGGCGGGTACCAGTTCGCCAGACGAAGACCGTAAATCGCAAAATGTTGATGCTCTTGTGAGGTAGCGTGAATTTTTCTATACTTGAAAAGACCTAACATACTGTATATGTCATCGTGCTCATACGGTATATGTTGATTAAATTAGGGTTTCACAATTTTCCATATGTTATCTGTGACAGAAGCTGTTTAATTTGTCAATTGCACAGTCTCATTTGAGGTAGGAACTTTAACTGCAGCAGTTAATATGGATTAACTATGCCTAAATCCAATGTAGTTTGGGCCATTTGTATGAATCTTGTATATCCATTCTGCTGGGTTTGGCCAGTTGCTAATAAAGTTTGAATCTTGTGACAATGTTCCAATTCATGTCTTTTAAGTTTTTAATGTATTAGAACGCACATTTCACTTTTGTGCGAAATGAATTAGTCATACTTCTTTATCTCGATAAAGCACTAATACTTAAGGAAAATTATCTAGGAGTCTTATGATATTGATCTATGATATCATGATTGTTATGAATTCAGGGGTAACCTTATTGTGAAAAGACAGTCCCTACTTCCACGAGTCTATTCAGTGACAGATGCAGCAGCCAATCTCCGAAAGCCATTCAAACCTCCAAGCTCCAATGGTTACAGTAGTAGCAATGAGCATCTAGCTCGCCGTCTTTGTGCTCGTAAAAGGTTTGTGCCATGGGGTTCAACAAGTCCAACATTGATTGCTATTACAAACAGGCTGAAAGCTCCAGAAGCTGCTGAGATAGATGTGGTGGAAGACAATTTAGAACTGCCACCTGGTGTTGAACCTCTGGTGTTGTGGCAGCCTGAAGAGATTGTGGAGGAAGGCTATAGTTTAGTACCTATAATTGTGGATCCATTGCTTGTTAGGTTCCTTCGTCCTCATCAAAGGTACTTCACTTGATATAGGTGATATAGGGTGTATTTGATTATATTTATGTGAATATTTAAAGGCATATTGTTGAACTAAGTGCATGAATGAAAAGGCAACGTTAGAATTTGAAGCTATGGATATTTAAAATGTATCATAGTGTGAAGCACTCAAAAGAATTCTTTATATCTTCTCATTAAGTTACTTTGTGCCATTTTATTTCATAATATTCAAGTTGAATTTGCAACATTAGTTTCTGAAGATTTACATCAGTAAGTTGATAACCTGTTCACTCCTCCATCATAACTCCAAAAAGAACATTTATTCCTTATTTCATTAAAAAGAAGAACTCCAAAAAAGAACATATCTATTATTTGCCGAACTTCAACCTCTTAATTTTGTCTTTATTACCATATGTTTTTTAATCTGTTTTTAAATGAATTTCAAACAAGTTAAGCAACATTGAGAAACTCTTAGATTTGACTATGTTTGCAGCATGCCGCAGCATCTATATCATTTAAAGACTATTCATGATATTACTTGCAGGGAAGGGGTCCAGTTCATGTTTGACTGTGTGTCAGGTGCACTTAGTAGCTTCAATATTAATGGATGCATTTTGGCTGATGATATGGGGTAAAGTATTTTTGATTCTTCTCCCTGACTATGTGTCTCTAAGTTGAGTGATCTTAGGTGTTTCATTTTGGCTTATTGGCTGCTCTTTGCATTTTAGTGCAGTTTGGGGAAGACTCTGCAATCAATCACACTACTTTACACTCTTCTTCGCCAGGGATTTGATGGAAAAGCTATGGTCAGGAAGGCAATAATTGTGACCCCTACTAGTCTTGTTAGTAATTGGGAGGCCGAAATCAGTAAATGGGTTGGAGAAAGAGTTAAACTTGTTGCTTTATGTGAAAGCACCAGAGATGATGTTGTGTCTGGCATAGAAAGTTTTATCAATCCCCATAGTAATATACAGGTAAGTTTTCTGAGCGATCCTAGTTACATTATGTTTGAGGGGTATCAATCCATATATTGTTCTCCCAGGTTTTAATTGTTTCCTACGAGACATTTCGGATGCATTCTTCAAAATTCAGTAATTCTGGATCATGCGACCTTCTCATATGTGATGAGGCTCACAGATTGAAAAATGATCAAACACTGACAAATCGAGTAAGACATGTTTACTTATTTTGATGACTTAGATTACTTTTTGTGGATGAACTCTGTAATCTTTGTCGAGCCTAATTTAAAACTTGCGATTAGGCATTGGCTTCTCTAGCATGCAAACGCCGGGTTCTGCTATCAGGGACTCCAATGCAAGTGAGATCCGATCTGACTTTTCTTTAATATCTTTTATTAACATAATTTGTTTTTGCTACATAATGCATTTTTCTTTCCAACAATTTCCAGAATGATCTAGAAGAGTTTTATGCCATGGTTAATTTCACCAATCCGGGTATCTTGGGTGATGCTGCACACTTTCGGCGTTATTTTGAGGTGAGCTTACTCTTGAATTCAAAAAATTAACGTGAACTCTTATGTCCTTATTCTTTTTCCACAACTTTGTGGGGTTTAAAGAACAGATAAGCTTTTTTATTATATCATCACTGAATGCAAAATCCATATATTTTTTACTGGGTAAGGAGACATATATTGGTTATCACTATTCCTCTCTGTATATAAGCATTTACCTTACTGTGGTTTTCCTCGATCCAACTGTTTGTAGACACCAATAATATGTGGTAGGGAACCCACTGCCACAGAGGAAGAGAAGAAACTAGGATCTGACCGCTCTGCTGAACTGAGTTCCAAAGTTAATCAGGCAAGCTTTCCACTGAAAATTATGCAGTTTCAGAATTTCGGCTTGTTGTTGATCTATTATCTGCTCTGGCTAGTACCCATTATCCACCGAGTTTAGAAGGCTGTGATTGGTCCAAAGGACGGGTGACAGACGGATTTCTCGGTTTTCAAAAATAAAATAAAATTATCTACTCTGGCTAGTAATTCTACACCCAAATCCAGTGTAGAAGAAAGAGATATAATGGAAATATCACTCTATGAACCTAGAAGGCTTGAAGCCAGTCCATAATCTTTTTGTTATTCTTTTGGAAGAAAAAAAATAAATCTTCAAATTTGGAAAGTTGAAAATATTCAAGAAACGAAATACAATCAGATATGTTAGAAAATTAAATTAGTGCAAATTGGTTTTGATTAGGATATCACAGTCATTGCAGAGTTTGATGTCTGCCTCTTGTCTAAGGCTGCTTGTTAGGGATCCAAATCTAGCACATGCTCTCATATAATGATTTGGCGTGTTTTTTCTGCACATCACTGACAGTCTTTTTCTTTTTTTTTCTACGGGTCTCAGTTTATTTTGAGGAGGACAAATGCGTTATTGTCAAACCACCTACCACCAAAGGTATGCCTTCTCTTTAATTCATTAGATATTGTAATATAGTGTATTATGATAAGTGTTGATTGTGCTTCAGAAGATTTGATATTAAAAGAAGTTCAATGACTTTAGCTACTGCACTTTTAGCTACTCTATCAGATCTGTTGTTTTGGCATATTGTTGTTTGAGGTATTAATTAAGTGATGAACTACCAAGTTCTGATTTGGTGTCTATGGCAAACTCCTTTGTCTCCTGTATGTTTGCCGGACAAAATTCGGACCAAGTAGAATAGTACTAACCTTTTGGATTTTAATACAACTTTTGACTGTGTTCTCATTCTTATGATGCTAAAGAAACCTTTTCCATCTAACAAATATAGGAGCGCAGCTGTCAGTTATTTAGTACTGTAAATATAATAATAATAATAATAATAATAATAATAATAATAATAATAATAATAATGTCTCTCGGAAACAGCCTCTCTACCTGTACGAGGTAGTGGCAAGGTCTGCGTACACTCTACCCTCCCCAGACCCCACCTAGTGGGATTTCACTGGGTATGTTGTTGTTGTTGCTGTTAATAATAACAAAAATAAATAAATAAAATAATAATAATAAGAAAAAAAGAATGTTACAAGTTGTTAAAGCAACAGATAAAAAAATAAGAAATAAAATTTTTTGTCTCTAAAGAATGTCTACTCATTTATCTAGATGATAATAATATGTTGGTAGTGGTAAGGTCTACGTATACTCTACCCTCCTCAGACTCCAGTTTGTGGGACTACATTGGGTCTATTGTTGTTGCAATAATAATATGTTGGTAAGCATTTTGATCATTCTGAAGATTTTGAATGATTGCACCCTTTTACACTGCAGATAATTGAAGTTGTTTGTTGCAAGCTGACACCGCTCCAGTCAGAGCTGTACAATCATTTTATACATTCAAAAAATGTAAAATTCTCATTTTGCTAGCTTTTTGACATGTGAATTATTTACATAATTTAGCTTGTTTCTTGGATAATTTAGTTTGCTTTTGTTCTACCACTACCAAGTACAGGTGAAACGAGCTATCGCTGAAGAAGCAAAACAGTCAAAAATCTTAGCTTACATAACAGCTCTGAAGAAGCTTTGCAATCATCCAAAGGTGAGCTATCATTCTCTCATAGTTTCTTCAAGTCTATTCATATGTAACAACTACACTGCTTATTTTCTGAACTGGAAAGTATACCGGGTATTAGGTCTTCTTTTAAGAATACCAGCAAGGCTACAAGTTTTTGTTTTTTTGTGTGCTGTTTGAGGTTTTCTATATTTTCCCATTATATATGTTGAATATTTCCCCCTACTTTCTCTTTAGTTTCTTATTTAAAGGAATACAAAACAGAAAGAGAAAACTGATACTTATAAGATGTACCTAAAACCATTTCTTTAATGTTTTTTGGCAATTAACAGATTATTTTATATATTTCTTTAATGATGATACCTTGAAAATTTACCTGAAATTATTACTCCATGTTGATACCTTAGCAATGTATCTGAAAATATTGCTTTATACAAAATAGGTGTTAAGAGCTTTTTGCACTTTACAAGATAGTACTGAAGTTATTGGTGGTCTGCACGGGACTTCCATAGAAGACTACTTCTTTATGATTGGAAATTTTGGAAAGAGAAAACTCTTGAATTGTCCTTGCTTTACCTTGCTACTGTTTTTCCTTATTACTGTCACATGATAACAGAATTGTAATCCGAATAGGAGGTAGGAAATTTCTAATCCAAACATAGGAACAGTCATGATATAATCCATTTTGGATTTGCCCCCAAGGCCTAGCTCGAGTGGCAAAAGGTGGAGGATTTGTGGCTTAGGTCGCAGGTTCAAGCCCCACACCATGCAAAGCGAAGCCCGGTATTTAAGTGGAGAAGGGTAGAGGGGCAGACCCATTATCCATTGAGTTTAGAAGGTTGTGATTGGTCCAAAGGGCGGGTGCAGATGGATTTCTCGGTTATCAAAAAAAAAAAAAAAAAAACCATTTTGGATTTGTTCAATTTTCAAAGTTAAGGTCAATGCTTGCAGAAAATTCAGTAAAATGAATATTCTCGAGGATTTGAATTTGAATGATCAAAACTTTTACAAAGCTCTAGTTGTTAACTTTCTCTTTTTGATATCAAAGAAATTTTATGTGAGTTTCTGGCCCGGCTCCTGTAGGTGCACAAGTTCGAAACTCCGGGGAGTATTAGTTCGCTCCTCCGCCCTCCTCCCAACATAAATACTATGCTTTGTTTGTGGCAGTGTTCGAAACCATGACATGTATGTAATCTCACATCATATGTTGTGTCCTTACCATGGAACCAAAGCCCTGGGGCCCCACCTCTCTGGTGTTAACTTGTTACTGCTTTTCCTTATGACTTTCATAGCGCCATATAATACCGAAAATTCCTAACCATGATATTATCCTTCTTGTGTTTATTCAATTTGCTAGTAACAAAACTGTTTCTTACTAATGTCAAATATCTATAGCTGATATACGACACGATACGAGGTGGAAGTCCAGGGACATCGGGTTTTGAGGACTGCATTCGCTTTTTCCCTCCAGAAATGTTCTCTGGAAGGTAAGCTGTTTTAACCAGCTTTCTTTCTAAAGATCGTCTTCAACTTGATTATTTCCAAATAAAGAAATGGCCTTACAAATAATCTGCTAGGTGCGGCTCATGGACGGGTGGCGCTGGATTGTGGGTTGAACTTTCAGGGAAAATGCATGTCTTAGCCCGGCTACTGGCTCAACTTCGTCAGAAAACAGATGATAGGATTGTTTTGGTTTCCAATTACACACAGGTATCGAGGAGTAACTATAGTAAACAGAATCTGAAGTGTGAAATACAAGTTTTGTTACATGTGTTAGTTTTCTTCGATTTGGACGGATGTTTTGTTTGCTCTGGCTTTAATTTCAGCTTCTGAGTCTCATAGACCTCTTAGCATGGACAGGACTCCAAATTTTTCTCCAGCATGAATCTGTTATTGCTGGATGCTGGTGTAGAATTATGATTTCATGGCTTGTGGTCACAATTATGAATTCATGATTTGAAGGGGTAAATAGTATGCTGAGATTGTAAAAGTGCATTCTATCTTTTCTCAGATGTGTGCGGGGAGGGCTTTGGGGTGGCTTAAAACCAGTATTTTCCTTTAATAATGGGCCTATTAGGATCAGCACATCATTTTTTATACTAGTTAAAAGTGTTATGTATATTTTGGTTGGCTCTATCAGGATACTGTTAGAAGAGAATGAGAAGATAGCTATTGGCAGTGGTTTAGTAGTCCATCACCACAGTTTGACTATAATATCCATATTTAGCCAATCCTAGGAGTGCCACTTCCTTTTCTGCAGATGTGGTAGCTTTCTTCTTCCCATTCTCTTAGTCGAGTACTCTTATGTTTTCCTGAAGTAAGATACATGCCAGTTGCCACATTGATCTTCATCAATCTTAAATACAGAGTGTTTTCCTCATTTCTAATGTTCTAAGTTCCATATTGTTAACGGAACAAGTGACTGTATTATGTCTCGGCTCTAGCTCCTTTAGTTACTCTCAGTCTAATATCTGCTGGTAGAACTTCAGCATCAGACAAGCTAGTTTGTGACTGTAACTTTTGTTTCAGAAGATAATGAAGGTTAACAGCCTGCTTTCAAGATGTGAACACTGTGATATAGCATTACATATTTGCTTATTGCATTCAATTTTTTAGTGTATAAACTGAAATTCTCTCATTTGTTTCCTCTTCCTTAATGAATAAGTAACTGATTTCTCTCTGTTGTTTTCTCTTCCTTCTTTCTTTTGTCGTCTGTCCTAACTGTGAGTTGTGAATAATCAGACACTGGACCTTTTCTCTCAATTATGCCGTGAAAGGAGATATCCCTTCTTAAGACTTGATGGAACTACGTCAATTAGTAAAAGACAGAAGCTAGTTAATCATTTCAACGATCCAGCAAAGGTACCTGGGGATTTTGTTACACTTGTTTATCTTACTAAGATTTGGCATTACCAAGACTTATTTAGTGCATCTTTTAGGATGAGTTTGCATTTCTGTTGAGCAGCAAGGCTGGAGGTTGCGGTCTTAATTTGATTGGTGGGAACCGTCTGGTTTTATTTGATCCTGACTGGAATCCAGCCAATGACAAACAGGTGAAAGCTTTGCCCGAGAATTACCAAATGATGCCTGAATATGTTGCTTATCAGGTACATAATATTCATATTTTCTTCCTCAGGCAGCTGCAAGAGTCTGGAGAGATGGACAAAAGAAGAGGGTCTACATCTATAGGTTTTTGAGTACTGGAACTATTGAAGAAAAGGTTTGATTCCTAGAAGCCTTTGCTTAACGAGTTCCTATCTTCTCTAATTGTTCGGTTGAAGAAATTTATTTTTATTTGCAGGTTTACCAGCGTCAGATGTCAAAGGAAGGTCTTCAGAAAGTTATTCAGCAGGAACAAACAGATTCTGATATCCAGGTAATGTTTTAGAGTCTCTTATTTTTTCTTATTCTTCTGCTGTAATGTGGTACCAATATGTGATTGCAGGGAAACTGTCTCTCAGCAGAAGACTTGCGGGACCTGTTCACATTTCATGATAGTAGGTATGTTCCATGCTAAATGGGATAGCTAATGCATTATGTGAAATCTCCTATACCTTCAAATGGATCAAGTATTTTTATTAGTTATGGTGACTTTTGGGGATTCTGTAGTGTGGAAGTGCACCTCCCCCATTCCCTTTTCTTTTTTCACATCTGAGTAGTGCTGGCAAATGAATGGGTCGGATCTAATATAGATGGGGCTGAAAATGGGTTAGATAAAAATGAATAAAATTTCCAACTCACCCATATTTTATGTGGATAAAAAATGGGTTGAATGATGGATAATACAGATATCCATATTATCTACACATATACAGGACTGAAATTTGCTAACATATTATATCAATCATCAATTGAATAGTTTGACATATAAACTCTATATAAACTCAAACAATTTGAGAAAGTTAACCATTTGTATAATCTACCAGATCTGTGATCTTTACACTTTACCAATTAAATCTACTAAATTTCCTACTTGCCCCCATAAATTCTGTTTACACCAAAAAAAGGAACAAACTAAGACAATTCATCCTAATCTTCTGAATGGAATAGCTAGTATTTTCCAAATGTTTTTAGTTCCTCTCTTTCCATACTATCCACCAAATACATGCTGTGATGATCTTCCACCAATCTTCCTCTCCATTTCTCTTTCCCACGTTCATTCAATGATTCGAAAGATCCACACTAGACCTAGACATAGCCCAATTTATGCCCAAAATACAAACGAACATGTGCCACAAATTTATTGTCGTCTTACAATGGAAGAAAAGATGCTCATTGCTTTTACCCTCCTGACCACATATTAGACACCTTTAACAAATCTGAAGACCTCTTCTTTGTAGCTTTTCTTGAGATAAACATGCTCACCTTGCCACCAACCCAGACAAAACAAGATACCTTTAATGGAATTTTTGTCCTCCAAATCAGTTTCCTAGGCCATACCCCATTCGGGGGCGGCTTTCTTGTGGTAGTAATTGCGAACATCTCTCCTCTTCTATTAGCGTGCACAGTTTGCTTGCATGCCGCCTTAGGCACATCTCTCTATGGAGCTATTATGATTCATGAACCAAGAAGCTGATTTTACTGAAAAATTACCTTTGTTACTGAGTCTATCTTGTTGCCCTGGGTTTCCACCCAAACTTCCTATAAGTTGAATCATGGTAATTAAATTTTCTACTTCCCGATCATTCAGAGCTCCCCTAAAGATAAGGTTCCACCCTTATTGATTCCAAACTTGGTTTATCTGGTTGTGAGTTTGTGAGCTTATAGAGAGATCAGGAAAAGTGGATTTCAAACTACTTTCACCAATCCAGTGGTCCTCCCGAAAAGCTGTCTTACTACCATCTCCCACTGCAATCACCACATTTGCCCAAAATCATTCCACAGATTCCTAATGCTCTTTCCATACACTGCCATACATAAGTACTTGTCAATTCTATAGTGATCCATTGGCATTCCATTTCATATTCATGATTAATGAAATTTCTCCGAAGTGTCATATCTTCATTGTTGTACCTCCATAGCCACTTCTGTAATAGGCTCTTTATATGCAATATCAGTTTTTTTTATGCTCATCCTCTCTGTTTTTGGCTGAGAGCAAGTACATCCCATTTTACAGATGAGTACTACTGTTTTCTTTATTACTTTGCCATAGGAAATCTCTCTCTTGGTATGCTCACAAATCCATCTCAGCATTCTCATTTCTGCTATTTTCATCTTCTGGACTTGAGAGTTCTTAACTGGCCAACATTCTGTCCCATACAACAGAGATGATCTAACAACCACTATAAAATTTACCTTTAAGTGTTGGTGGCACATGCTTATCACACAAGACAACGGATGTGAGCCTCCATTTCATCCACCCCACACTAATATGATGTGTAACATCATCGTCGATCTCCCCATTTTCTTGGATTATTGACCCAAGATACTTGAAACTTCCTTTTTTTAGGGGATGACTTGTATATCAATCCTCACTTTCACATCTGTCTCGTTAGTTGCATCAATGAACTTGCGCTGCAAGTACTCTGTCTTAGTCCTACTCAACCTGAACCCTTTAGACTTCAGTCTGTCCCAAAGTCCAAACCTCTTGCATAGTGTTAACTTACTGCATGTCTTCAATCAATACTATGCCATCTGCAAATAAAATACACCATGACACCTCCCTTTGATATGCCGCATCAGTTCATCCATCATCAAGGCAAAAAAAAAGGGGCTAAGAGCTGATCCCTAGTGCAACCCCATCTTGACTGGAAAGTGATTTAAGTCTCCTTCCACTGCCCTTACCTAGGTCTTGGCTCTATCATGCATGTCCTTAACCACCCTAATGTATGCTACACGTACACCTCTAGCCTCCAAACATATCCATAGAACCACAGGGACTTTATCGTATACTTTTTGAAGGACAATGAACACGATATGTAACTCTCTCTATACTGCTCCACTGATCTCCTTAAGGGATGAATGACTTCTGTAGTTGATCACCCCCACATGAATTTGAATTGGTTGTCGGTGATAGATACAGCCCTCCTCACCCTAATCTCCACCACTCTCTCTCAAACTTTCATAGTGTGGCTTAGTAAGCTTGATACCTCTATAGTTGCAATTTTGAATATAACAGTTGTTCTTGTACAAAGGGATCATTATACTCTACCTCCATTCTTCGGGCATTTTTTGTTGTCTCTAAAATAACATTAAACAACCCAGTTCACTCCATAACTGTCTTGCCTACGGTCTTCCAAAATCCCATCGGCATATCGTTTTGCCCGGTCGGCCTCCCCTTCCTCATCTTACTGATAGCCTCCTTAACCTCCTCAAGCTTTAAATGTATAACCAAACAATATTTTTCAATAATGTTTGAAAAAAGGAAAAAGTTTTCATGGACAAACGGCTCTCCTTAGCAAGCACTAGCCCCATCATTTCCGCACATGTCTTCCATGTGATGCCCTTTTTATATTCTTATTATATATGGAGTATGATTGGATTTCAAAGAAAATTTAGAGCCCATCCATCCTTGACATATATCAATACTAAAAACTATAGAGCCAAAGGTAGCAGTGATGCTGCTTTCAGTGCTTGGGTTGCGGGTCATTGCCTACTGTATCACTGGATTGTGGGGACGTTCTGAAAGAGAAATAAAAGAGGGACAGTAGTGGGCATATGTAGAGAAAGAAAGAGAAAAGGGTTGGGCTTAATTTTTGTGTTATGAAGACAAAAAGTTAAAGAATCTCTTTCTAGTTGCTATGGAACAATTAGAAGATTCTCTAGAAGAAATACGGGGTTCTGCTAAATTTTAATATGTTAGCTATTGTGCTACTAGGCACATTTAAAGGGGGGAAATGGTTATAATACGAACCTGCTACCTTCATGTATATATAATGATAATATGGTTAAGAATTCATATGTTTCTCTTATTTGTTTTCTTTGGATAAGAAGAAAGATCCTATACTATATTGGAGGGGTTAACTGCATAGAAGAAACTTATGGAAGCTCACATTGTGTAATTTTTATGTTCCTATACGTTCAGCCATTTTATTATGAATCACTGTTACTCTCATCTTCATGCTCTATTATAATTTTGTATCATGTACGATCAAAATGCTTCTTGTCTTCTATATTTAATTCAATTTCTAGTGTTAATACAGGTCTGAGATTCATGAAAAAATGAGCTGCGACCGCTGCCAACCAGATGCAGTGATGCCGGATGACAACATCATAGCTGAGTTGCACACTCAGGGTCATCAGCCTGATCAAGAGGATATTGGGGGGTTTGCAGGTGTAGCTGGTTGCTTGCATACATTACAAAGCTCAGAGAAGCAGGTTGGTATTTATTTGTATAGTCCAAGTATCAGTTCTGTTATTTGGTTCTCATACAACAAGCACCCTTCTCCAGATTGGAGCTCCCAAGGAAGAGGACTTGGCCAGTTGGGGTCATCATTTTTCCCCAAAATCAGTACCAGATGTAATTTTCCAGTCCGCAGCAGGAAATGAGGTAAGCAGAGAGTTCAAATTACTGTTGCATTGAGCTCAGACTAAACCCCTCTCCTCTCATGTCCCCGAGCAACAAAAAAGTAAATGAAGAAAAAAAAGGAAAGAACAGTGAGTCAAACTTCTGAGTTCTCATTTAATGTACTTAAAGATCTACGAAAAGCTAATCACGTGTCATACTCCAATTTTTTTAAAAAAATTAGTATGACCAGTGGAAGGTATATGGGCAGATTTGGTATTATGTGACAGTTACATTTTATGATACTATGATATTATATATTGACGCCAAATGAAAAAGGACAAAAACTTAACCTTCTATGTCCCTCGGGGTCTTGTTTGCTGTTTCATTACATTAAATTGGAATACTCATTTTTCTAATATTTGCAGGTTTCGTTTGTTTTCACTTGCCAAGTGGATGGGAAACTCGTGCCTGTTGAATCAATTCTAAAGTCAAAACAAGAGGTGGAAAATAGAGATTCACCTCATTTCAAAGAAATGCTTATGAGAAAGGCCACATTTTCATCTCCACGTCAAGCACCATCACTGAAGACGATGTCATCAAGCAAGCCGTCTAGTGAGAAAGAAAACTCTTTTCCGAAACAGGATTTGATATTGCAAGCTCAAGCACTGTCAGCATCAACTCCTAATGGAACTTCTATGAGTACATTACCTGCATTTTTTAAACCTTTGCAAAAGCCAAGAAGCAAGTTAAATAGACCTTTAGAAGATACTAAAATATACGAGAAGAGCAAACTCTCTTCCGAGAATCTTTTGCCCAAAAAGAGATTATCTCCTGATTACATATATGATGATGATTTTGCCTAGAACTTGGTCCCTCTGTGTTTTTCCCTTTAGTTTCAGTTTACCTGGTTACATGCATAAAAAAATCCCAATATATCAAACCTGCTGTATGTTTCAATTCTATCTGGTCCTCATTAATGATCCAAAGTAGCTCTCAATACAGAGAAATTTGATTAATGAAATTATTTGCATTGTAAAATTTGGTGGTTTGGCTAATTATTCTGGCCTCGATTCAGGTAACATTTCCATTAGTCAATTCTTATGTTTTGCAAGTGTTTTCTGTTTTTCCCATTATGACATGTTGGAAAGACACTTCTTGCTATGCCATGCCAAGAAGTATGTTGATGGGAATTTAGTTGCAGTTCCACACCTTGTAATCCCTCTCTCCACTTTTTGATCTCCTATGTTTTCTATTCCTTTTCCTTCTATGTGACTGTATTATAAGATTTTAAAAAAGAAAATATACAAGAAAAAGAAGTTTATTTATGGATCTAGGTTTTGTCTTCAAATTGACAAGTTGAACTTCTAGGATTTCGTTTATCCATAGTATTTGTCCATTTTGATGATTTGGCATAGGGGTGGCAATTCGATAGATTGAGTCAAATTTGGGTGAGTCATAATGGGTCAAGATTCAACTCAATCCAAATTTGCTTAGTCTTAATGTGTTGGGTCAAAGTCAGGTAATGGGTTATAGATGGGTCAAGACTCAACCCAAATTTATTAAGTTTTTATTGTTTTATTTTTTCTTTTAAAATAGAGAAGAGACTCAAATATGCCACCGAACTTTGACAAAAGGCTCATCTATGCCATTCGTTAAAAGTTTGGCTCATCCATGCTATTTCCATGTCACGATCCGATTTCTCAGGTCATGATGACACCTACTATATCTCACTAATAGATATGCTTAACTCATAGCCCAAAACCAGAAGCGACGGACTATCTCGCGGAAGAACACATAAAGGAAGCAGGGAATAAATAGCATGAAGAAGAAAGGGAAATAAACAAATTAATACATAACAAGACAATCTCAAGATTTGACATTAGTCGGTAGTCGAGCTTATAATCAAAATAGGGGTACAAGACTTAACAAATACAGTAAGTACATAACTATCTTTGAAAGCATAATAAAGACTAGTCCTAGCCAACATAGAGGGAGATAGACAACCTGACGTTAGGAGCTCACCCTAGTATCTGAATCCCAAAAGCTACTTCGTGCGAGATCCAAATCAACGACGAGAACTCATACTATGATCTGTAGGGTGCAAAAGTGTAGTATGAGTACAAAAAAAGGGTACTCAGTAGGCAAAGGCCGACTGAACTCCAAAGATAAAACAAGTAAATACAACATCTAAATAAGGAAAGCACATCACACAAGTATCTATCGAGGAGATATAACATGATAATACAAATAGTAAGAACGAAGGAATAGTGTACACTAAGTAAGAGACCGAGACAAAGGAACATATCTAGAGGCGCAAGCCCAACAACCTAATAATGATAAGATCCTACTACGGAAGTCAACTAACCAAGGAAAGAACCACAGTAATACCGCTACTCAACATAACTACAACTGAATCAAAGAACACTAAGATAGGGCAAAACCTACCACTTAAGCAACTAACGATCAATTCGACATAATATACACAATTTTAGTCAAACAATAACCTAACCAGATCTCCAAAAAACCGAAGGTACAAATAACAAACATAACTCAACCAGCTCCCATAAGACCGGCATATGCAAACAACAACCAATTATACTAGTGATAGGCAATGCATATGAATGCACGTAATGTAGTAGAAACTAGTCGAGCCATCAACACAAAGTTCCACACAACCAAGTATATACACCTACCTCTTGTCCCTGTAGCTAGGTAGGAACCATGCGGCTCCCTCCTCACGTTCAGTAGGTCACACATTCAGAGGGACCCATAGGGGACGGGAGAAGTCAGTATACATTGCCTGGTCCCGATCCAGGACTTCCAAATATATATATCTGTCGAATACAATAGTATCCAATCAAAGAGAGAATTTCGCTGGATTTCGAATACAATTGATACATAATACAAAACAGTTGTGCATTAAATAAATACAGAAGACAATGTAAAATAAAATACAAAATATAACCCGCCCTCCCCCCTATCTGATCTTGCTCGCCTCTCTCCTCCTAATTTGTATTCATTTTGATACAAATCAATTTGTATTTATATATTTTTCTACAAAATTCACAAAAAAGATATAAGAATACAAATGCGTAGCAAACCAAAGTATAAGTATAAATTATAATGAGTGAAACTGTAGCTAAGAAATCGTATCATGATATTTACTGTTTTTGAAAGTTTCCCATATTTAATATTCAGTTGGAAAAATAGTGACTACTCGCCCAATTTTCCCGTCCATTGCGGGCCGATCCGAATCCGCCCGTTTCTCTATTACCCGAGCTGAGGGGCAGGCAAATTGGGTGCTACGAGAATACAAATACAAACAGGAAAATGTGGAAAGACAGAGGACCAGGAGTGAAGATCCTCTGGCTTTGGGCCATTGGAACTGCTGGAAGTATACCCTTCATTCTTCTCCATTTTTTGAGATTTACCTCTTTCCCCTAAAACTTTAGTTTCTATCTCTTTTTTTGCAGTTTTAGTAACTAGCGTTGTGAGGACAAGACTGCGGGATATGGAGCAGTTTATGAACGCTCAGCAACAAACTCCTGGGCCTATTGACTCACCTGCGATAAGCGACAATGATGATCATCAATCATTGCATTCTGAGGATTTCATTCGGGAGGAGAAAGGGTGAATAATAGTCTTGTATGCTATGTGTTTGATGAATTGTCTGAATGGTGATTTTAATTGTCCCTTTACAGCATTTGGAATTATTTAACTCTTTTCTGGTTTTCCTTCAAAATTTTTATCAATTTGCAAGCTTTTATATGTTGATCATCTTTGTTTGAAAGCATAATACATAAATATGCCCTTTAATCTTTGCTTCCATCAGCATCTACACCCTCTAACTTTGAGTTTGCACAAGTAGACATTTAAATTTGTATAAAATTGAACAAATAGACATATTTGTCCTACGTGGCGTCCTACATGATAATTTTGTGTGGTGTCTTACGTGTATTACGCCATGTAGAACGTGTGTGTATATTTGTTCAATTTTGTATAAGTTTAAGTGTCTATTTGTGTACCTCCAAAGTTGGAGATCATAGATACAAGTTGAAGCTAAGTTAAAGAGCATATTTATGTATTATGCCTTGTTTGAATGCTGTATAAAGTAAAACCAGTAAATTAGTTGATCGCCTTAATTGAGAAGTTATACCCGGTAAAAGGGATCTTTCTTCATATTTAGCAAATCATTCATCTGCTAGTGTAGTTTTTGAAGCTAGGGGTCGTTTGGTAGTTGATTTGGAGGTGAGTTATGCAGGTATTAAATTCTGCGTCAGTAATACCAAGTTTGATAGTTAGTTAGGAGGTAAGTTATTCATGTATAACTTCATCAACCTCAGTAACTAGACTCTTCTTCCCATGCTATGGATTTATTGCCTTTCATATACATTAGACATGCTCCATTGACATTGTTCGGAGTAGCTGCAAAATAAGGTTGGTTGTTCACTACTCTGGGTAGGAGGATCTTGTATCAGGTAAGAAACAAAAAAGGAGGATCTTGTATCAAGCTTTATGCTCTGCAGATTTGTTTCCAGAGAAATTAGAATGTCGAAACCATGTAGTAGCCTAGAGCTGTCCATCTTTGTCTTACCATGAGTTCTATTCTCTGCAAGAGTCGTGGGCTCATTCTATTATACAACATATTCTTGTCATATACATGTTGAGGCTTCATTGAGTCGATATTTGATCTGCCATCAATGAAACTTCACTTGACTTTTGATAGAGTGGCCGGCTAGAAGGACCTGAGAACACAATAAAGCTATAAAAATGCACTCTTGCGATTGTTACCTCTGCTTAATATGCAATGGCATTACTCTGCATATCCTTTGTATCATAGATCTGAAATAGTAGATAATCTACTTATCTAATTTGTTTCTACTGTTGACTTCTGGGCTTGTGTATACCTCCTTCATTTTAGAGATTTTGCAAAGGTAGCTAATCTACTTAGCTAATCTGTTTCTAATACAACTCGCCCTCGATCAGGCTTTGGTCTAGTGGTGTGGTGAGAGCACAATGCATGATGTTTTCGAACCTTGCCACATACAAAAGCCTAGTATTAAGTTGAGAAGGGTAGACGGGTGGGCCTGAATTGTGAACAACTGGCTCTTCAGGATTTCTTAGTTATTAAAAGTATAGTGTTTCTAATATGACTTCTCGGTTTGTGTTTTGTGTATTAAGGAAGATACTCCAATGATTAAGTTAGCATATTAACACTTAACAAAGAACTCAAAATGCAGTGGTAGTAACTCACAACACTACAGGAGCTACAAGTGGAAAATATGGAGGTAGTCACTCTAGAATGCTCCCAGCATATGCAACAACTCAATGCCCACGTGGTTTGGTTATTGGTTTAGTATATTTAAAAATAAAAAACCGAACCAATTGATGTGTATGCATATGTCAATATCCCCTTCTAAACCTGATGATTTTGAAAATTCATAGTGTTGAACGTTTAATTAGCTTATTGCATGACCAAAATTTCAAGATCAAATGTCAAACGTGTTTAGCCCGACTTGGTTCAACACTGAATATATGAATAAAGAGGCGTAGAGCAGGTCAGGTGCAAGCTAGTTAAAAAACCGCTAACAGTGAAGTAATGAGCCAAATAATTTAAATTGAATGTTAGTTAGTATTTTTTCTTTAAAAAAATTAATTTTTACCTTTTAAAATTGAAAATTTTAAACGTAAAGTACTCGAGACTATGTACTCTCTCAATTTCATATTACTTGACTTGGCACATCTTTTAGAAAAACTTTTTTTAGAGATGTATTTTACTAAACTAATCTTATTAATTATACTTTGAAACTCTGAATTTAACTTACTACTTTATATAATTATTTAATATAAAGGCTAGAAAAAATAAAATATAATAAATTTTCTT